CCTTTTAAAAAAAATCAATTTTGCAATATAACACATGCATAAATGGACTTGAAACAGTTTATCAATGAAGTATGAGCCAAAAATGAAACCAGAGAGAGCAGGCTTTTTGTTACACTGGACACAATGATTCAGGAGCCCTGCAAGCAAGTGAAATTTGTGTACGTGAGGTTATTTTCCCCAACATATATTCTCCTGTGGGTCTGGTGTAGCAGTAAATATTGATAATAGGAGAGGGATGGTTTGTGCTGGTCATTGTACAAACATAAATAAGAGACAGTCTACCCCAGGGTTAGGATTTGGGAAATAGAAGACTTTGGGAGGTTTTGATTTATGAAATTTCTGAATCGGTCTGTGGAAAGGGAAGAAATTCTTACAAGCAGACACCTGTTAGGGCAAAAAGCAGGGAATTTGGCCCTCTACTTCAGCTTAGGTGTGGCAGCACCAAGGTCCACACACAGGATAACTTGCCCTACCCAGAGGCAGGGAAAATCTGTATACATGGAGCTTTCTATAACTGACTAGACTGCTTCTAGTATCACAAGCAAGCTCATTTAAAGAGAGAGAGGTACATGGAAAAATATCACCTGCCACCACACACATATGATCATTCTGGTGGGACAGTGGCAGCCAGAAGTCCCTTCTGGCCCCATGCATGCCACTGACATGAGCACCTGACTACTTTGTTATGCCTCTGGTCGAGCAATACCAAACCATGAAAACTTCCCTTACCGTTCCTTGCAAAAATAAGTTCTTAAAGGCTGTTCACAGAGCTGAAAACATCATGCACTTTATTAAAGCAGTTATGTTGGCAGTAACCAACATGGAAGAAGCTTCTGTTAGATGCTTCTTTCTTTAAAACTGAAGGACAAAATTAATAGGGGGAAATACTGTAAAATGTCCAAGATTCTAATGTTGTCAAATTAAAAAAAGTTTTAAAAAGTGGATTAATTTTCACTGTATTTTCTAACAAGCAGCCCAGTCTTTTACAGTGTTCATTATCCTTTAGTCTGTTGCTTCACTGGGGTGGAATGGTACCCAGTACTTCATAGGCAAATCCCCAAAAGAACAGTGTAGTTATCATGGGCTTTTACGCTCTGTAGTTGAAGTGCTAACCATGATCATTACATTTCTATTTCTGACATGTCATCAGTGTCATTGCCTGAAAAACAGTTTAAAAGTCTGTAATCTGCAGCTGGCCTTTTAATATAAAACATAGCCAAATAAAAAAATCTGGAATGCTCTGTTTATATCTTCATATCTGTGTGGTAACTACATTCTTTAAGGCAGCAACTGTTTTAGGAAAAAAATGTATATATGTGAAGTTTTAAGCAATGGGTGAAAACGGTCTTTCTATGAATAGAGTATCTTTCATTGAGTATCATCAACATGCTTTACTACAATGAGACTTTCAAAAGTCAGCCAGCAGTGGCTTAGCTTTGCTCCCATTAAAGTCAGAACTCCTGCTGAGCTTAATTAGCAGGGGAAAAGTTAAGCCACCAGTGAATGCATTTGATACCCCACTTATATAAGTGGTGGCATCCCCTTTTGATAGATAAACAGAGGACCAAGCTTAAGTTGTTTGCGGAAGGTCACCCAGTAAGTCAGTGGCAGAGAGAAATACAGTTTTTGAATTCAGCAGTTCTGGGACCTATTGCCCTTCTGTTGCCAACCAGGACACACTGCCTCTTTTCTTAGGTTTAAAGCGTGTATTCCTAAATTCAGTAAGACAGATTTTTCAGTACACAGTGGTTCTTCTATTTACAAACAGCTTGAAGAGTGTTCATACACCAGCGATGTTATCTGCTTGCTTGAAATAGCAACTATGTATTACTAACAGTATTATTCCCTTCTAAGAGTGCATTTTGTAAATTTGGGATTTGATGGTGGGTTTTTTTATTTTGTTTTGTTTTCTGTGATAAATAAAATGTTGAGGCTATGTGAACCAATTTTTGTAAATTACAGATTGTTTCCCTTTTCCTTACAGAAAGCAGTAGAAAAAATTATTGCAGTTGGCTGGGACATCTTTCAACCCTTTCTTTTTGGTTTAATTGGAGCAGAAATATCTGTTATGTCTCTCAGACCTGAAACTGTTGGTAAGACCAGTTATTTTGCTCAGTGTCCTTTCTGCCATAAGACACTCTTCCAAATAGCCATGGGACCCATTAGTCTCTAGGTTATGCCTTATATCTACAAACTTGTATCCTTCATTTTGTGCTTAAGGCATCTGTCTGGGATATTTTAGGATCAGAAAATCTTGTATATGTGCAGAAGGCTAGACTAGATGACCCTTGTGGTCCCTCCAGTGTTATAATTCTGTGATTGTAACAAACATTCTCCTGAGCCCCTGATTTGTGGAATGGAAGGTTGCAAATATAACCATTTCTTCAAATGCTGGAAAAAGTTTTCGTATTGGTATTGTAGATAGAATTGTAAGTAAAGTCATACATTATGTAGCTGATCCTGTACTCTTAACCAGGACAAACTGCTTGTTTCCTTCAGTGGGAGTTTTACTTGAGTTACAGAATACTTAGTGTGCTGAAAGTATAATTTGTACAAATGCACAATTGCTTATTTTAAGTGATTATTAATCTATCAGAGTAACTTCTTGAATAGCCGCTGCCCTGATTCTGATGTATTTCCTGCACAGTCTAATCAACAATCACTGATAATCTATAGTTTTGTAAAATACATTGAACCACCTGGAATGATTTCATTTCTAATATTCTTTGTATCACAATTCTTTGTATTTAAATAAACAAACAAAAAGCAAAATCATTAATCTAAAGATTTAAAAACCATACCCTTTCTTAAGAGTGCTAGCTAAGTTTGTTTTTGTTTCCACTATAGGGCTCTGTATTGCTACACTGGGTGTTGCGTTAGTTGTACGAGTCATGGCTACGTTTCTGATGGTATCTTTTGCTGGATTTAACTTCAAGGAGAAAATATTTGTTTCGTTGGCATGGATCCCCAAAGCCACTGTCCAGGTAAAAAATGCAGGTGGTAGAAATGTAGTATTGAGGGGATCAGTGTAGACACCAGATTTGACTCTTCCCCTCACACCAGTTTTATACCAATCTGAACGCATTGACTTCAGCAGAGTTTCCCCTGATTTGCACAGGTGTAAGTGGGAGGAGGGTCAGGCCCATTATTTGTTCTGTGTAGTTCTTTGTAATGGTAAATTCTGAGTTTGTATGTTTTCTTTTTTGTTGTTGTTGAAACCAGTACAGTTCTAGTGCTTCAGACTAATGGGCATAATAGCCATGAACATTGCTGCTGCCCACAACATGTTGAAACCTTATCAGAGCCTCCTAAGGACAGCAGTTTAATCAAAATTACTTGCATATACAAATATTCTCTTATTTTTTTAATCTCAGTGTGAGTACTCCTAAAATACCACCACTTTATTTTATTTTCTCTGGCAGATTTCATGTGCTCTCATAGAGCTTCTTTTCCTCTGTGATATACATGTATACCCAGCTTGAAGTGAATGGAGGGCTTTACTGGAAAAGGGACAACTCGTGTCATTGCTCTTGAACATGGGTCTCTGATGAACTGCTCATTTTGCAAATAGAAATTAATAACTAGAAAAGTAAAATACTGAATTGAAAGAAATCTTTATATAAAGAACTGAAAGAGAATTTAAGAAATGGACTTTGCCTCCATTTTCCTGACTAGGAACCGGGTCACCCCTTCTACTCGGATCCCCGTAGGCCCCAGGGGAGGCGCACCCAGGCCTAGGGTC